ATTTATGCATTAGCCATGCAAAGCAAACATCTAAAGATAAAATGAGGGTCAAATAATAGTTTGAGCTTCGTGTCAGGTTTCAGAGATAGGAGCTCACCCTCTCTCATCATGCCGGCACGCAGGCACTTCTGGAAACGACATGCTTGGCAGGATTTCCTCCGTCTCTTAGTGATCTCACAGTCGTTCAGCACCGGACAGCTGTACTCGATGTTTCCTGAAACACACACAAATCAAGCCATCTTTACAATAGACATATAATATATACTTGTTTTTCCAGAGGAAAACAAAAATCGGGATAGTCTCGGGAAAGACTACAGAACAGATATGAACTCATGCTGCCTGTGTGAGCACCACAGCTCAATATGTAAGCACATGCTTTAACGTTGTTAGTGAATGCCATTAATTATTACTTGTTGAATTAAAAGGCCATAAAAACAGACACTCAGTTCAGTTGTATGTACAACACTGAGAGCTGTAGCTACACTAAGTGCGCTCTATCTATCATATGTTTAATCAAACATAAAATCCATTTGTCCCATGCTTCACAAGCTGAGCTTTCACACAGAAATCCATAGGAGTCCAGACAGAGTTCAATTATTGATTTGCACTGCCTCATAATTTAATAATCATGGCAAGAGGTAGAAAGTTGGTACTTCCCCAGAGGCCAGAGTATTGACGACTGTTCAACATGCATTAATGCCCAGAGAAGCAAATCCTGGAATTTCCACAGTTAACATTGATCAACAGATTTGTCTAAAACACGACACTGGACAAGACTCTGTGGGATTAGAGCGTGCATTATGTGATTGAACACTTCATCCATATATCGATATGCTAACACACACTTGTGCTCTGTCTGCCCAAGGCCAAAGCCAATATAAATGCTCCATCTGTGTCTGCCAGAAACCTTTACAAAACTAAAAACAATATATATTAGAAAATTAAAAAATATATTTGAAGCAGACCACGACATCTATCATATAGCCAGTTTATATTTAATGCATATATTGTAAAAATGTGCCAACAGGCAACAATTCAGATGTTATATTACCCTTGCCTACACTACATTTCCAAAAAATAAATAACTTAAATAGAAAAATTATACAATTTCCAGTGGCTAATTATTAATCACTGGCAACAGTTGTATCTCAGCTTTACAGTTCTTCATCAAATAATAACGAAACTTGATATTATTTAAAGACCTCTCTAGATAATCACAATTAAGACAATTGCATTGACGAGGTGCATTGATTAAAACAGCAGCACACTGAGTCTTCACACACAAATCAATGTCAGACAGATAGTTTACTGTGTCATATTGATCATTGCATTCGTTAACAGCACAGCTGCTTTAAAAATGCACCATAAACCACTCTAACACACACTTGAACACTAATTATCATTATCAAGTCATTAATTAACATTATACTCGCTGCGAAAATCAGTAATCCGTTTAAATATGATGTATAATGTTGGTGTAA